ATGAAAACCTTATATTTAAGACTAAAATAAAAATCAAATAATATTTTATATTAAAGACCAGAAGTACTATGACGTACGACACTTGTTTGGATAAGTTGGTTAGCCCATCTGGTCCCCTTTTATCGTGCTTTGTCTCTGCCTTGTTTGTCTTTTATACTATCTAATGGGCCCTTGTATTATGCAATAGGAATGCTCTTTCATCTTGTAACCGGCTCAATTAACTACGCGTAGCCTATGTATCTTACTTAAATAAAAGATGTGTTTAATCTTACTTAAATAAAAGATGTGTTTAAATACTTTCAAAATTACTTTTTTAAAAATATTTTTTATATAAATCAAGATAAAAATATTCTCACATATTTATTTTCATCGTATATCATAAAATTATAGTTTGATTTTTTTTCTTTATATAAAAAACACAAAAAAGCCAGAAATGAAGTGAGTGCATATATCTATTTATAAGCATACAATATACTAGTATATTTTTTTAATTAAAAAAAAAAAGCGCGACACACAAGACTACTCCATTAGGATTTACGAGGGCTTTGGTTTCAGTTGTGTACCCTCATTCTTCTCCGCAGTTCGGGTCAAAAACATTTCCTCCGCACTCCGCAGTGATGGTCGGCGACAATCCATTTCTTCCCTAAGAAATCATCGCCAACATTCTCAAACGACTTCCTGTAAGATGCCTTTTACGATTCCAATGTGTCTGCAAGCTTTGGAAAAATCTCATCAAAAGCCCTTCTTTCATCGCAGTCCGCCACCAAATTTAAGGGTGGTTGCTTTTGTCTCTGGGGACTTGGGTTCAGTCCAATCGTTAATGATTACAAAATAGCGAGAATTCACCTTAACGAGTCTAGGAAGGTTAATGGGGTGGAAGCGTATTCATTATGTTCGGGGTCATGGAAGAAAGTAGGATTTGAAAGTTTACCAGGCGTGAGCGATGCTTATGGCTTTCAAGATGTTGCTGTAACTGCCAATGGAGTTATGTATTGGCTTGCGGAAGTTCCTGACATGATAATTTCATCTGATCTAGCGATGGAAGTCTTTATATTGATACCCATGCCTCCTTTACACTCTAATTACAGACGTTCTACGCTTGCTGTGTTTGAGAACAAACTTGCTATCCTTTCTCTCTCTTTTCCTTTTGTACGTTATGCTTTTGAGTTGTGGGTGATGGAGGAGTATGCAGGTGGTTTATCAAGGGAAAAGTGCAATTGGACTAAGAAATATACTATGTGTCGTTTAGGTCTTTTTGATGGCTTGTTCCAGCCAGCGATTGCTTGGAGGAATCAAATAGTCTGTCGTTGTCAAGCTTGGACTGGTGGGCCAAAAAATACTCTATATCTGTTCGATCCTATTTCTGCTGAATATAGGACGGTTACTATCGGTGAACAGTTTGGTGGTGTTTTCAATTTTAGTGAAAGCCTTGTATCGTTGAGCAGCAACGACATTGAAGAGCCTTGATCTTAACTCTTAACTATCATATTGCAGATTTACTTAGTTGGAACACTTTTGGTAGAAATAAGCCCGTAGTAGTTTGTACTTTATAACCGTATCTATAATTCTAATTCTTGTTTGTCCTTTATGTTATCGAGAGTTATCAAATATATAGACTTCATCTGACCTATCTATAACAACTAATCGTTCTGTTTTCTGAGGCATGTATAATTTGATTGCCTGTGACGGGTTAATTATTTTAGGCATGCTGTCTTAATGATCTTTTGATGGTTTTATATCATAGAGAGTGGGCATAAATGATGTGAATTTGAGTTTCTTGCATTTTCAATGGTGGCTGAGGACAGTATTAGTAGTCTCATGTGAAGTTCAACCTACAGCTCCTCTATTATTTTATGCTATTCCAATTATGCTTACAAGTCACAGGGACCCTAATGCATTATTGGTTGAAAGATGAGGTTAAAATCAATGAAATTATAGCGTACCTACATGAAAGGAAATTTTAAAAGAATCAGATGTTCGGAAAATATGGTCTTTTTTTCCTGCTGCTGCTGCAGAACCATTATGAATTCAAATTCCATATGTCTGGGATCTTTAACTTTGTTAAACCTGTCTATGATGCTGGCAGATTGTTCAATTTTGTTTCAAAGATCAATAGATATTTCTAGTGCACCATGGATTATTTGGGACTTGTTATTGATGAATGTGAAGTGGAGAATGATGAACCGAAAACTGGTTTTATCTTATTGTTTTTTGTTATCATTCTCACGACTTATACTAACGAATTTATGGTGTTTGCTACCTGTAGATGCAGTGTGATCCTTTTGTTCTCCCACTGTTTTTTCAATTTGACAAGGAAATATATTTAGTTTCTTGTATGGGTTGTTTTGGATTTGCTGTCTTTTTGCTACACTAATCTTTTAAGTTTCCAGTTCAAGCACCGATCAAGTGCCAAAAGTAAGATGATGAGAACACAATGAAATAAACAAGAGGTTTCCATTTTAGGAAAATCCATAGGAGACCCAAAGATGTGCCATTTTTTTAGCACCAAACATATGATATTGGATGAATATGGAACAATTTTCATCAAAAAGATGAATGGTGCAATTTCTATTCTGATTGGGAAACTTGAATAGCTGATGAAGCTTCTGCTAGTAGTTTTGTCAATTTAACAATGCTTGTTGGTTGAAACTCATAACAAATCTGGTGTATGATCTTTTCACATGAGAATTTGTTTTTAGGTATTCCTTGATGAATATTGAAAGCTGCAAATTTTACCATGATTATGTTTCTTGCTAATTATCTTTTCACATTTTTTACTGTGCAGTCAAAGGACTTCGCAACGGGTGTTAATGTGACATAAATCTTTTTCCAAGAGGGGTCATTGTTGATTCATTAAAATTAAAGCAATGGTTTTGTCTTTCTAGTTCTTCATGGCGGTGGAGCACTGAACATGAAACATTCAAAACTAGAAGGCATGCGTACCCTTTTCTGTAAAATGCATAAAATATTTTAATCAGCCACTATCCATACAATGCCATTCCTTTGATAATTTGACTTCGGGTTGATTGTAGTTTGAATTGCTAATTCTTAAATTACTATCTTGACCAATTCAATAACTAATCTGATTTACAACACTTTACAAAATACTGTCTTCAGTCATAATTATAAGAGCTAGTTGATTAGTTTGAGGCGATTAAGAAAATAAGTTAAATTAATTATTTATAATGAATATGTGTTCTCTTTCCTAAAATATCTTTATTAATCAAATGTACTAGTTAGAACTACCATTCTTAGAAGGATAATGTTAAGAAAAAAATGCATAAATGTGATAGACAAAGTAGATTGGGTACTATATTTAAGACTAAAATAAAAATCAAACGAGGTCTTATATTAAGGATCGGATTTCTATGCAATGCCATTCTTTGGTGAAAATTGAAAAGGTCATAATGTATCCAATTTTCATTTGACTTCAAGGCGTACTTTGGTTTTTTTTTTTTTTTGGCCAGAAAAGGCGGACTTTGGTTTCACATCATGTTTTCTTACAGGTTTTCTAATCTAAATTAAAACCAAACACTGGCTAATGAGCACTCTATTTAGTAGACGTCCTAGTTATTGACACTATTAGGTGGTTAGGTAATACGAGCATGTCACTATATATTGACTCGGTGTATCTTATGATATCTAATTTTCTCTATTGCCAACCCCATCTTCTTCTTTATTTTCCCAAGGTTTTATACATGTTAGAATTTCAAATTTTACAATATACTCTTAATTAATTTTAATAATTAATAATTAACGCTGTCTTGACTTTAAAAAATAATAAAAATTAATTTAACTTATGATATGTAGAGACCTTTTAAGACTTTTCTTTTAACTACTCTTTAAAATTAGAATAGAGCCCGTTACTGTTAGTAATTGAAAACGGGCAGCGCAGGCGCTGGAATTTGGAAATATTTATATCTATGTACCATCATTAGGGTGTGTTTCGTATTTTTGGGTTTTCTTTTGGGGGGGGGGGGAGGGGAAGCAGAAAGATTTTAATTATTTTTTTAATTTGATAACATATAAATTTTAGGAGGGGAGGAAAAATTTTAAAAAAAAATCCCTTTCCTCCCCTCCAAAATTATTTTGTCATGTTGTAACTATTATACTCATATTTTGTCATATTTTGATCGTTATGCCCATATCTTAAATAAAATAAGCATAAAATTGTTCATGTTAAAATATTTTTTCCTTTCTTCTTCTCATGAGCCAAACAAAGTACTCCTTCGGTTCTTAATATAGGACCTAATTCTTGAGTTGGTTTTGGTCCTAAATATAAGACCTATTTATCATATTTATCAATTTTCTCTAAATTACCCCTATAGATACTCTCTCAACCATAATCAAGTAAAAGAGGGAGATGAGGTATTAAGAAAGATGATTGTGGTGTTTTAGGAAAAATGTGTCATATTTCTTATAATTAATTAACTTACCTAACTTTCTTAATCTAATCAAATTAGTTAAATGGCTCTTATATTAAGGACCGGAGGAGTAATATTAAAACTCTTCCTCTCCCCTTCTTTTTTATAAATCCAAATAAAGTAATATTAAAACTCCCCCCTCCCCTCTTTTTTTATAAATCCGAATAAAGTAATATTAAAATCCTTCCACTCTCCTCCCCTCCACTCCATTAAAATCCCTTCTCTTTCCTTCTTCTCATTAAGCCAAATAGACTCTTAATATGTGATATAAGAACTAATTAATTAATTTAAATAAATTAGAAAAATTTGCTATAAACAAGTGTTATTTTTTCAAAAATAATTTTATTAATAATATATATTAGTTAGAATTATTATTTAATAAAATTTTTAAATAAAATACTTATTAAAAAAAATAAAGTGAACTGGATTTTTATATCTGTATATATATTTATATTGAGCACAAGCTTCTAACAGCGTGGTATTATAAATTATAAATATAATGGATGGAGTCCCGAAAGCCCTAATGGTCCCTTGCCGGCGCTTTTCTATGTGATTCATCGTTCCTTCTTCGCAGTAATGGATGGCGACAATCCATTTCTTCCCGATGATATCACCGCCAACATTCTCAAACGACTTACTGTAAGATGCATTTTACGATTTCGATGTGTGTGCAAGCGTTGGAAAAATCTCATCAAAAGCCCTTCTTTTATCGAAGCCCACCTCCAGCACTCCAGTAATCAAAGAACTGTTCTTCTATGGCCCAGGTATGGCAATGATAATCCCTTGCCGTTATATTTGAGCCATTGCGGCATTCGAATCTTTAAACGTATAAAGGCACCTGTGGCCGCCGAGGGGGTTAAGATCATTGATTCAAGCAATGGCCTGCTCTGTTTCAAAATTGTTGATGATGTTAGTTCTCCTCCTTCACTTTTACTGTGGAATCTTGCGACCAGAGAGATCAGGCAGGTGCCCAGATCTATTCACAATTTTAAGTGTGATTGCCTCTGTGGTTTGGGTTCAGTCCAATTGTTAACGATTACAAAATTGTGAAAGTTCACGTTAACAAGGCTCGGAATGTTAATGGGGTGGAAGTGTATTCACTAGGTTCGGGGTCATGGAAGGAAGTTGAATTTGAAAATTTACAGGGCGTGAGCGTTACTCATAGCGGAGAAGCTGTCACTGCCAATGGAGTTATGTATTGGCTTGGGATATCTCACATGATACTTTCATTTGATCTAGCGACAGAAGTGTTCGCATTGATAGCAAAGCCTCTTTTATTCATTAGTTTGCTTTCTACGCTTAGTATATTTGAAAACAAACTCGCTCTGCTTTTTCTCTCTTCAGCTTATTCCATTGAGTTGTGGGTGATGGAAGAGTGTACAAGTGGTATATCAAGGGAAAAATGGAAGTGGACTAAGACACATAGTATAGGTCCTTTTCCACGCTTGCTAAGGCCAGTGACCATTTGGAGGAACGAAGTAGTCTGCCATGATGTTGTAATGCCTAGACTTGAAGCTGAGACTGGTGAGCTAACAAATATTCTATATGTGTTCGATCTTACTTCTGATGGATATAGGGTGGCTAATATCGGCAAATGTTTTCATGGTATTTTCAATTTTTGTGAAAGCCTTGTGCCATTGAACAGCGACCACATTGAAGAGCCTTGACCTTAAGTCCTGAGTATTATATTGCATATTTGCTTAGTTTGAACGCTTTTGGTAGAAATGAACCTATATTAGTTTGTAGTGCATAACTGTACCTGTGATTCTTGTTGTTTATGTTATTGAGAATCATCAAATGTTTGACTTTATTTGACCCATCTTTGATATGTGATTGTTCTGTTTCCTCTTACAGATATATATATATATAATTTGAATGCTGGTTTATGGTTTAGTTATACTAGAGACATGCTATCTTCGATGGTTTTCTATCATATATATATATATAGAGAGAGAGAGAGGGAGGGAGGGAGGGAGAGCAAACGTTAAGTGAATCTGAAATTCTTGCATTTTCATTTCATTTCTCTGTTTTGTGGAAACAGTTTTCCACCTTACACGGAGTCATGTGCCGTTTTGGTCAACGGTGGATGAGAACAGTATTAGTAGTTTCGTGTGAGGTTCAACCTCCAGTGCCTCCACTATCTTATGTTATTCTAATCATGCTCACATGTATGCATTATTAGTTGAAAGATAAGGTTAAAATCAATATACTTATGGCGCACCCACATGAAAAGAAATTTTAAGAGAACCTGAGGTTCAGAAAATATGGTCTTTCTTTCTTGTTTTTTCCCCCTTTGCTGCTGTTGCAGAACCGTGATTATTTCGAATTCCATTTGGCTTGGGTATTAAACCTGGCTAGAATGTTTGCGGATTATTCAATTTTGTTTCAAAGGTCAATAGATATTGCTATTGTACCATGGATTATATGAGACTTGCACACCTGGACATGAAACTGTCGTATCTTTGTCCGATCTCTCTACTAGTGAAATTAAGATGTCAACTACATGCAGACGCAGCGTTGGTAATGTTTTAAATTATGTAGAAAGCTTCGTCTTAATTCACAACATTCACATTGAAGAGCCTAGATTTTAAATTACTCTTCCGGTCCTTAATATAAAACCCATTTAATTAATTTGATTAGATTAAAGAAGTTAGAAAAGTTAGTTAATTATAAGAAATGTAATACGTTTTTCTTAAAATACTATAATAATCTTTTTTAATATTCCTCTTTCTCTTTTACTTGATTATGGTTAAAGGAGTATCTATAGGGGTAATTTAGAAAAAATTGATAAATATGAGAAATTGTTCTTATATTTAGGACCAAAACCAACTCAACAATTAAGTCCTATATTAAGGACCGAAAGAGTATTATGTTGCATATTTATTTTGCTAAGCTCTTTTGATGTTTTTTCCCCACCGACATTCCCCGACTTGTTCACTCTCATTTTTCACAGCATTTTCAACTTTTATTTTTATACCTCTTGGTGGCTACTAAACATCCCCTTCCTCGCTGGTGAAACTGAAGCGAAGTACTGCCTCTAGTTTAGCTAAATGACTAATATGAAGAGCTTAAAAAATTAATTAAATTGGTTATTTAAAATAAATATGTATTAATTTTTCTAAATTATTTTTATCTAATCATGTTTCTTGGAATTACCTCTTGGCACAAACCATTTACAATCAATAAAAATATTCTAAAAAAAGTTAGAAATTTGTTGGTTGAGGTAATATATTGATGATAAATTTAATCTCTAATTATTTCTTATATTTAGAACTAAAGGTAGTATATATGTGTATGGAATTTAAAAAAACAAGAAATTAAACTTCTTTATCATTATTCCAGCCAGACATATTTTTTCATGATCTAAATGAAATCTGAAGAAAAATTATTAGAAATGGCTTTACTGCATAACAAAATAGTTTGAAATGAAAAATCTAGATCTTGCCACGCGCTATAATGGATAAAATTTAGTTTAGAGTATTGTGGTCTTCATCTTTCAACTCATATTTATTATATACATATTTTATTTAAATTACTGTCTTATTACATTTTTTAATTTTTAGAGGCTTAAGTATAAAGTCAAAAGCCGATTAAGAAATAAAATATATTAACTGTGTCAAACAACCCATGAAATTTTTGTGATTTTTGAAGTAAAAAATATAATTAATTATATGTACAGAAAGAACAGCTATATGAGTTGGGACGATGATAATATTTTTTGTTCTTTGTTTTTTTTCCCCATAAAAATAAAAGTTTTGATTTCCATTCACAGTTTCGTATGCTTTCTCAAATTGAAATTAAAAAAAAAATGAATTGTTGTACCGATATAGTTGGTATAAAATTTCAATTTTTCCTGAAAAAAATTTTAATTTCTGATTCTTCTAAATTCTAATGATATTTTTTTAACAGAAAATTTGCTTTAAAAATTTTTAAAATTCTTGCTTTTCATGAAAATTTCTTCAGAAAATATTTTAAAAAGTGTAATGCTTTGCAATTATTTAAAATAACTAAATATCAAAATATGAATTTTAAAAAATACTGAATTGCTGCTAATTAATAAACTTACTGCATAATAAATATTAGTAGTTTTAGTCATTCACTACAATTGTATGTTGTAAAACAAAAATTTTGAAATTTTTTATTTGACAGTGAGTTAAAAATTTAATTCTTTTAATTATAAAAAAAAGGCATGAGCCTCAATGTTATGCATCTCTACTCAACTCACAAAAAATTCCAGGAAAATAATCAAATATTTAGAAGAGATGTTCAAAAAATTTCTACATATTTTTATCATTTCCTACAATTTTTAATTTTTTTTATTACAAGATAAAATTTTTTATTAAACTTATTGCTACATTGTATAATTTAGTCTAATTGAGTGTCTATAATGAAAAGCCTTTAATACATACTTTTCTTATGAAAATGATAAGCAAAGATGATCCAATATTAATATAACTTAATGATTTTATTTTTTAAAAACATAATTTTTTTTTCAATTTTAAAAAATGGTATCGAAACTTAATAAGTGGTATCAGAACATAATCAGAGCTCTAATAAGTATGGATAATTACAACATCATAATACAATCTAATACCCTCTAAATTCTTTAATTCTACCTCCAAGTAGGTTTTAGTTACTCTATTCTTTATAAAATTTACTTTATTAAATTCAAAAAATTAGTTTAATAAATAATATTAAAACACAATAAAATTTTTTAATGATAGTGACAATATTACAATCTTATAATTTTTTTTAACAAGTATTACATCACTTTTACTTGACAATATCTTAATTGATCTTCCTGATTATATATTAATTGAGATTTTAAAAAAATATCAATCGAATTGTTAATACAATTGTAATATGTGTGTAAAGATGAATATGTGTCATCTGGGGTTCAAACTTGATTCAAGAACATTTCAAATGGAGTCAACAAAATCCTTTTCTCCTCCTCCAAAATATTGCTACCAAATATATTTATCTATATTTAGTGACCACGATCAACTCGATGTACTTCAAATCCTGTTAATAAATCCTTCAATGAGAGCTTGCATAGTTGGTTCTACTAACGGTTTGATATGTTTGAGAATCGGTGATGATAGATTTCACGTATCCTCTTTCTTAGTATGGAATACAAAATTAGAAAAGTTCAACCAATACTTCTAAGAATTGAGGTTAATTGCTTTTTGGATTTTGGGTTTGGTCCAAGAGATAATAATTACTATAGTGATGTTTTATGTCTCTAAGGGAACTTTATTTATTAGATGGAGGCTTTTTTTACTATAGATAAGGTCATCTTTTTGTAAGACAGTAGAATTTTTGAATTTGGGAGTTTATAGAAAGTATACTGGGATCACTTCCACTTGTGCTGCCACCTCACCTTTGCCTGCCACATGTTACCATTACATAATTCATTTCTCCAAGTGACTTCTTATGGCTTGAAGCCAGGACTTCCTTTGTGCACGCGTGTAGCTTTACGAGTTGAGCTGCAATGAACCGATTGACTTATTATGTAAAATTAAATATATAATATTATTTTACACAAATAATTTTATATACATATATATTATTAAAAACTAAAAATATACTATATAATAATTTTAATCATAACTATTTCAATGAAAAAACAATTTTTAAATATTTGTTTTACTATTTATTTTATAATGTTTTATTTTTAAATATATATTTTTAATATAATTCTAATTTCTAACGACACTAATTTTGAATTTTAAATCATAAATAATTTTTTTATAAATAATTTTTAAATTTATTTTTTAATTAACATTGATAAGATATACAATTTAGTCATAACTATATGATAATTTAAAAATACACTATATGATAATTTTAATCATAACTATTTTAATCAAAAAAATTTTTTAAATATTTTTTTACTATTTTTTTATAATTTTTTATTTTTAAGTAAATATTCTTAATATAATTCTAATTTCTAACGACACTAGTTTTGAATTTTAAAACATAAATAACTTTTTTATAAATATTTTTTAAATTTAGTTTTTAATTAACATTGATAAGATATACAATTTGATTATATATGTATTATATTACATTATGTTATATTATCTAATGTTATATTATATTATATTATCTAATGTGTTTTATATATTTGAAAAAAATCATTTACAATTAGTTAAAAAATCTTATTATTAAAAAATAACCACTATAATAAAATCTAATAAATTATTCTATATAAAAAATTAAATGATTTGAATAGATTATGATAATTAGTATTCTCTTACTTGTATATATATACTATGTAATTTATTTTCTTAAAATTCTTTATATATACCACTTGTGTTTGTATTGAAGATCAAAATCAATCTATATCATGGGTATTAATTATATTATAATTAAATTTTATTGTTTAATGATTGAAATTCAAAATTCACTTTAATATTAGTTTGTGCTCATATAAATTTATTTTGTTTTGAATTTCTATCATATATTATATATTTCAATATATTGTATAGATGATAAAATATTATATATTTCAATATATTAGTTTGTATAAGAAAGTTATTAATGTTCTTCTTATATTTTTTTAATTATTATTAATAATCAAGAGGAATTTATTTTAACAAAATATAAACAAGTTTTCTAAAAAATTGTCTTTTTATTTTCAATATATACATAATGATAATATGAATGATGATGATATTTTCATTAACACCAACTCCACAAATATATCAATTTATTTTATAATTAAAAATGTTTTTAAATGATCATATTCTTAATTGTTATTATATAAATTTTTGTAAGATTATAATTTAAAATAATAAAATTTAAAATTAGTGATGGATTAGCGACGAAATTATGACAGAATAGAATTAGCGACAGAATTAGTGACAAAAACTTATGTGATAAACAATTTAGCAACGGAAATTTCTGACGGAAAAATTTCGTCGCTAAATATTTATTGACGAATTTTTCAACGGATTAGCTACGGAATTTAGTGACAGATAAAAATTCCATCGCTAATCCATCAAAAAAATTAACATCAAAAATTAGCAACGAAATTTGTTTTTGTCGCAAATTCCGTTGCTAATCAACTGTTTTTTTTTGTAGTGAACAACCACTTAGAGTGTAAATGAATGGATGATGATAGTGTCCTCATATTGTCAATCAACAACTACAAAATGCCAAGTAAACAAAATAATAATCAATAATCACTAACAATCAACTGACCACAAGAATTCAAAACTGAAATATTCATATAAATAATTCAACATTAAACAGCATCCAATCTAATTACATTGCAGTAGTTTAAATACAAGATTTACAAATCCTAAATCAAGTCTTACAAATCTCTAAGTGGTTTTTAACAATGTTTTAAGACATGTCAATCAACTTTGATTAAAGTGAGTTTTCATTAATTAAAGCATTGGATCCAAGTGATTACCTGGGGCTTTTATCAGACTTAGAGATTTTGAAAACTCCCAATCAATTTAAAAGCAATAATAGCTGAGTTTTCATCATCAAGAGTCTATCCTATCATACCTTCCTTTTAATCCAAAACATGCCTTTATTTATTTAAAAAACCAAAAAGATTTACTTCTTTGCATTTTATATTTATTGCACCATTTTTTTTGAACAATTAAAACCTCTTTTTCTTTATCCAAATCAACATATATTTGATAACCAGTCTAATCTAGTTTTTCCCAATAAAGTGCTCATTGAAAAGAACGATTGGTGCAATCACAATTTTAATGACCCGGAAAGCGATAATCCGGTCTGATCAAAATCTGGAGCACGTTAAGTAGATAGAAATGGATGGCCGTACGCCATTTCTTCCACAAGAAATAGTCACAGACATTCTCATACGGCTTCCGGTAAAGTCCTCACTCCTTACTACTCCGATTTTAATGTGTATGCAAAGATTGGAAAAATCTCTTCAGATCCCTTCTTTCATCGCAGACCACTTGCATCACTCTAGTCATCGAAACCCTTTTCTTCTTTTAAAATGTTGGATCCCATGTGATCTCTGTCACTATTGTTTGCTCTATGGCGAGATGGAAATCCAGGAACTTCATAAGATCACTCTTGAGAATTCTAAGTTCAAAGTCAGGAACCTCATTTCCAATCATAAGTTTCATTCCCTTTTATTGTATAATCCAGCGAGCAGACAAGTCTAACAAGTGCCCCGATGCCTTGAAAGATTTAGGAGTACAGAGTTCATGTAGGATTCGGGTTCAATCCAATTCTTAATGATTACAACATAGTGAGACTTTTTGTTTCTGCAGATGATGAAATGGTTAATAAGGTAGAAGGGCATTCATTAAATATAAGGTCATGGAAGGAGGTAGAGGTTGGGAACTTAGGGGATGTGAAACTTAAATATGGTGAAAGTTTTACTGCTAGTGGAGAAAGTGTTTAAACAAAGTTTTACTACGAAAATGGTGTTATATTTAGGACCGGAGGAGTATCATAGTGCACCATTTCGCCAAAAGGACTCAACAACTATAGATACAAAATGAGAAATTAATTTGAATTTATTTCCATCAAAAGTGTTTAAACGAAGTAAAATTTAGGATTAAGGTTCTTTATTGTTGATGTTGCCAACTGATACAAGACTTTCCACATGATTAAAATTACCATGGACAAGGCCGGGGCCACATTTAATTCTAAACCTCTTAAACTCATTAATAGTGAGATTGAGCAGGTACAACCTTTTCTTTTCATCATCATCCCCATTCAAATAAAAAGGACGGAAGACAATCTCATTCTTCCAAATAGTCACTGGGTTTAACGCGAGTGGACATAACTGGTCACAAAGGGTGCTAGCAGTATATTTTTTTAGTCCAAATCCATCTTCCCCTTGATGCACAAATGAATCATATAAGGTTCAGTAACAACAACCAAAGCTAGTTTGTTCTCGTACACAGTAAGCCTTGTATTACTTCGTTTATATTCATATTTTAAAAAAGGCAATGGCGTCGAGACACACACCTGCTTTGTTAGGTCAATCGAAACCGCCGTATTAGAATCATCACCCGGCCCCTGCTTTCCACCAAACATAAACATAACACCATTAACAATGACTTTCCCCCCTTTTCTAATATTTATGCCCTCAAAGTTTTCTGATTCTACTTCCGTCCAAGACCCAGAGTTTAATGAATAAACTTCCACGGGATTAACGGCAAAACGAAATTGAGTTACATAAGTTGTCACTATCTTGAAATCATCATCAGTAGTGGGATTGAAACCAAATCCGACATCGTAATAACCATTAGAACCCTTCATAGTTCTGGGCACCTCCCTAAACTGTCTGGTCAGGGGATTCCATAATAAAAAGTAAGGGGAAACCGTACCATTTTTCTTTGGGCTGAAAGGAGAAGGGACCATGCAACGATCCTCGTTGCCCACCTCAACACAGACCAAGCCATTACTGGAACCCACGATCCTAAAATTAATGGAGGGATCGATCAAAGGTGGCTTTTGAATTTCAAGCACCTGCATGGTGGGATGATCCACCAACACAATGCGCAAACTAACCCTGCGGTAACATCTGAGGAGAAGCAAAAGGGTTGGATGACTGGTGTGGTGGAGGTGTTCTCCGGTAAAAGACAAAGACTTGATGAGATTTTTCCAATCTCTGTATACGCATTGAAATCGAATTAGGGATTTCATCGGAAGTCTTTTGAGAATGTTACATATGACATCGCAGGGAATAAAGAGTATGTTGTTGTGGTCGTCCATCACTTTCATGGTGTTCCCCATATTGGACAAGGAGAGTTCTGAAAGTTCTGATGGTGGGACTGAGGTTAAAGTAGGTAAATATGGACTGGACATTAACGGGAAGTATTTCGGCAAAACAATAAAATTTAAAATGAAACCATTCTTTGCTCTTGTGTCAAAGTCGTAAGTTGTAACCACGGATCCTCAGCCGATCGGTTGATTTTCATCCAAACTTCTGCTATAGAAAAGCAATAATAGATAATTATTAGTATATGCGTTGAAAAAGATCCTAGCGGAATTTCAGTGTCGTATCTACCCTCATACGCCTTTCTTTTTCATTTATTTCTTACTTAATATACGATGTTTTTTATTTAGAATTTGCATTCACATAAAGTTTTGAATTATTTTTAATAATAATATTATTATAAATGAAAATAATATTTAAATATTAATGCCATTCATTGAATTATATTTAATAATCATCATTCTTATTCATATTTCATGATTGTATTTGTGGACTCAAGAAAACTAAATTGAAAAAGAAAGAAAGTATGATATCATGATCCTAAATAATGGGAGATTTATTTGTCAACTAGGTAAGTTGTACGATTTTTAAGCTTTTTTAATTGAAAATTTAAAATACATATGAGAATGGGAAGATACGATAATAACCGTGTTGGAGATCGGGTGAATGTGAAATTCACTAACCGCTTCAAACGAAATCAATGGAGCCACACACGAGTCACTAATCTGGCAACAATCTGTTTGATGGAAACCTTTTTCCACTAATCTAGCCTTATTACTTGTTTCATCTGGATTTTCTTTCGCTCTAAAAACCCATTTACCCCCAACAATATATTTAGCTTCAGGTGAATGAACGTGCATGGGACCAATGTTTTATACTCACTAAAGCTTCAAATTCCTTTGCCAGGACTTTGAGTTTGTTATTAGGAGTTGTAAGGGCTTGAACATAAGCAGCAGTTAGGGAAATAACTGTAAGATCTTAGGATATGTGAGTTAGAACCCAACACTCAAGTTATCGCTGGCCTCTACAAGCACTAAAGGTTCACCCCTTGTCATCTCAATCATGCGAAAGAGGCCATGAGCTGCATGTTTGGCCATTGTTCTATCATCAGGTCTCTACTTATGTCCTAAAATGGGCCACAAACAACAAACATGAGACTTAACCCAAACTTTTTATCATATAAGAGAAAAACGCTAATTTAAACAGGACTATGAAATCAAAAGAGAACAAAGCTAAGAGGTCTTCCTGTTTGATGACCCTGTTGCCGATGAATGCCAAAACAAGTGATACATTATTAGCTCTCAAGATTGTTGGTGACAACACCTAAATTGTCCAAAATTCAATGAGTCTTCTAACGTCATCTGTAATGCGCAAATCTTGTAGACAACAACACCTGCAGGTAAGTGGTAAATCCAAGTCTTGTCCTATGGATAATGTCCTTAAAAGTTACTCCTCTGGTCCTTAATATAAATAAGACCTATTTAACTAATTTGATTAGATTAAAAAAGTTAGGTAAGTTAGTTAATTATAAGAAATGTGACACGTTTTTTCTAAAACACCATAATCATATTTCTTAATACCCCTCTCTCCCTCTTCTACTTGATTATGGTTGAGAGAGTATCTATAAAGATAATTTAGAGAAAATTGATAAATATAATAAATAGGTCTTATATTTAGAACCAAAACCAACTCAACAATTGAGTCCTATATTAAGGACCAGAGGAGTATTTCGCAACTAGGGACAAAGCAAGGGAGCCGCTAGGATTAAAGGGATCCTTCTTACAAAAACAGGATGAGCAAAATAATGAAAGTTAAAAAAAAATGCATTTAGTAGCAATTAACTCATTGATTAATAGTCATGGATACAATTTAATGAGTAGTTTAAAGTTGTCTGTTACGAACATTGATAAGGCATGATGGTGATTGAAATGACATATTAATTAGACAGATATTTTGTATATAAATGCCTAATACTGCGTTTGACTAATGCTCAAGGGATAGGGAAAAATTGCTGGATTTATCTCCGGTGACCCCGTTGTGCATACAAATTCACTTCTCATTTTAGCCCATTTAGTAGCCCAGAATTGGTTATTACTTGGACCTCTAATCCTCTACAATTCTAAGTAATGTGAGACTCTTCTTTTGACACACCCACACACAATATTCACAACAAAGATGAGATGGCGGAAGGGGATCACAATGAGGGGAGGAAGGAAGAAAGTCAACCATAAGAGTCATATAAAATATTGGTTTGCAGAGGTAAAGAACAAGAATGATCAGAACTGGTTTGTATTGAAGGTTAGGATTCTGGTGCAGGAGAATCATTGAGATTGGAGACTGAAAATGACACTGGTTACATAAGAGAAGGAGCAATATCTCATTGCAATATTGGATGAGGCGGGGAACTTATTTGAGACAGTGGTTCAGCTACAGATTGTGTAGGATTAGAAGAAACTGATGATGCTAAAGTTGGAACGTTATCAAGTGGTCTTCCGATCAAATGGCATGGAAACTTCTTTATAAGTGAAAGATTGTGGGTTCCATACAACTTGCAACCTTAAGCATCTGTGCAACATTGCAAGTAGTTTCAGTTGTTTTAGTTTTTGATTGGATTAATATTTACATTTTTTTTCATATGTTAGTATCTTAATTAAAATATTTTATAAATTTAAAGTGGATTCAGATACAATTTTTTACAATAAATTGAATTTGTATGATATCGTGATATTTTTGCACTTGTAAATTTTTTATTTTTTTAAAAAAATTTTATTCCTTTCACTTTTAGACTTGGAGGAATTTGCATGATATTAATTGTTATGTGCATGTCAGTAATACTAAAATGAATCGATTTGATTCTCATCGATGATTAATTGCACAATTTAGTACATGTGTTGAATAGGTTAAAAAGTGAAATATTTTTATGAAAATATTACTCCTATTTAAGATGTTTATTTGAAAAGAATGCTTGTTTAACATCTTATCATAGAATAACAGAGAACTCGAATTCAAAATAAATGACAATTTGACAATAAAATCTTGTTAATATTGGAAATTTTATGAAAAGTTTAAACTTTAAATTACTTTCATAATAATTGCATATTGTATTTAATCGAATTTAAAATTAATCTGTAACTGTTTTAATGTTTATCGATTTATTGACTATTAATATTGGCCAAAAAGTAAGCTTATTAAATTTATTGACATAGCTACTTTTTCAGTAAAAAAATATAAAGGCACTCACAAAATTATTACTCCTCTAGTCAATAATATAAGACTCTTTTTATAATGTAATTACACTATGAAAGGGGTTTTATTATTTAGGATCGGAAGAGTATTATAGTATTAAATAATGAAAAAAAATGAACAAAAAGTTGTAAAATACTTTTTCATCATAATTGTGAATTTTTTGTCCAATCTGAATTGTTTACTATGAACACTTTTTATTTAATAATAATAATAATATTTATTACTTTTTTTTTATTAATCCCTAATTTTCTGCCTCCAATGAAGTGCGGAGTCTTCCCATTCTCATCCTCGAGCACAATGGAGCAGCTGGAAATGGATAGCAGCGCACCATTTCTTCCACAAGAAATAGTTAGAGACATTCTCATAAGGCTTCCGGTAAAGTCCTTGCTCCGATTTCAATGTGTATGCAAAGATTGGAAAATTCTCTTCAGATCCCCTTCTTTCATCGCAGACCACTTGCATCACTCTAGTCATCGAAACCCTTTTCTTCTTTTGAAATGTTTTATCGCGTGTGATTTCTATCACTATTGTTTGCTCGATGGCGAGATGGAAGTCCGCGAACTTCATGAGATCCCTCTTGAGAATTCTAGGTTGACTGTCAGGAACCTCTATTCCAAAAATGGTTTGCTCTGTCTTGAAGTCCTTAATGAGTGTCATTCCCTTTTCTTGTATAATCCGGCGACTATATAGAGAAGTCAAACAAGTGCCCCGACGCCTTGAAAGATTTACGGGTACAGTGTTCGATGTAGGATTTGGGTTCAATCCAATTCTTAATGACTACAACATAGTTAGGCTCTTTGTTTCTGGGTATGATGAAATGGTTAATAAGGTGGAGGTGAATTCATTAAATATGGGATCATGGAAGGAGGTAGAGGTTGGGAACTTAGGGATTGTGAAACTTAAACATGGTGAAAGTTTTAGTGCTAATGGAGCTATCTTTTGGTCTGGGCATACAGTAAAGCATAAAGTATATAATGGGAAGAAGTGTGAAATTGCTGGAAGAGTCTGGATAGTTTCATTTGACATGGCGAAGGAAGCATCCACTTTGATACCAATGCCTGCTGAAATACGCTATAAAGATGGTGTTAGTTTCGCTGTGTATGAGCACAAGCTTGCCATTCTTTATCCCACTGCTATTGAAAACTCTGAAACTTCATCAATTGATTTGTGGGTGATGGAGGAAGGTACAGGTGCATCAGGGCAGAAATGGACTTGGACTAAGAAATATACTACCAGTCCTTTTCCGTGCCGATATCCATGGAAGTTATGTCCGCAAACTATTTGGAGGAATAAAATCATCTGCAAAGTTCAATTGATGCCTGCAGCTGAAGGTAAGGTGAAGAATGATGAAACAAAATTTGTCATGTTCAATCTCGCTAGTAATGAATTCAAGAGCTGTGCTATAGGCTTATGCGGCCATCATCAGTTCATATATAATTATGCAGAAAGCCTCATACCACTTTCACAACATCCACATTGAAGAGCTATGATGCTTTTTACATTGCAAAATTTACTGCCTATTTTGTTTCAAGACTTGTGTGAATATGAACCTGGAACAGTCTAGATCATTCTGTACTAGGGCTTGCTGTCCTCTTGAGATGTTATTCAGAACGATGAATGCAGATATATAATGTACCAGATATTTCTTGCTTTTTTATTTGACTTAACTATAATTTCAGGTTGCTTGTCTTTCTTCTAAAGATGGATACATACATACAAACATACATACATACATATATACATATATATATATATATATATATATATAACTTAGCTGTTTTCTGTGTGGCTTATCTGGTACTTTTAGTCCAGGTAATATTTTCAGCCATCCCTGTAGCTGGGT